CACACATCGTCGCGAAATTCTCGCGGTGATCACGGGTGCTTGTAACTAGGGTTAGTAGGGCGGGGGCTTTTGCCGGCTCACTCTCGTCGAAAGTATCGATATCACCTGAAACCCGATAAGTTATCATCGCGCTTGAAATAACTACAAGGGTGGGCGTTGTTTAGCACACGCGCTAAGAGCCCACCATGCTGGTCTGCTAGTGTACGCGTTATAAGCCAATAATGGCCGGCGCGGAAAGCCGGCCGCCGCCCAGGCGGGTGCATCTGCAGCAGCAGCCGCTGGTGGTTACCACCACTGTCATCCAGGCCGCGGCTGTGTTTATCATGGTGAGCCACGCATGACCGTGCTGATTGTGACACTTGGCGTTGATTGTAACACAGGGCGTTGATTGTAGCTACGTGGTGTAGATTATAACGATACGTGATGTTGATGATAGTGAGTCCCAGTCGGCATTGACCAGCGAGATATCCGCAAGGCGATCACAGCGACGCAATGCGCCCACGAAGTGCTGGCGCTGCTCTCGACACGCGATTTTGAACAAGCGTAATTACTATAACGAGTCACGTCAGGTCGCGCGCTTTTGAGCGACTCAGCCGTCTTTCCTGCGACCGCACGTGAGCGTGCACGGCGGGGCAGTGCTGCACGGCGTTGCGCTCACATGTGGGCGCGGGGGATGGCAGGCGGGGCACGCAGAGAGTGCTGCCCCGCGCAACACACTCCCTCTGTGCGGCTGAGCGCAACGGCGCGCGGCAACGGCGGCAGTCGCGAGGGAGAGCGCGGAGGGCACGAGGCGGAGGGCACGGGGCGGAGGGCACGAGGTGGAGGGCCGTGCTGCGCTCTCGCTCCGCTTCTCGCCCCACCACCCTCCCGTTGCCTTCTCCCTTCCCCTCGCCTCCTCCCGTCGTTCCCCTTTCCACTCATCTTCCGCCCTCCTTTCCTCCCTCCCCCTCCTGTCCCATTCCCCCTCCCCCCCTCTCCCCCCCTCTCCCCCTCCTTCCCCGTGCCTCCCCTTTTCCGCTTCCCCCCTCCCCCCTCCCTTTCCCCCGCCCCAACCCCCCCCGATCCCCCCCCACCCCCCCCCCCTACCCTCCTCCCCACCTCCCCCCCTGCGTGCAGTACATGATGGTGGCGCGGCACCTCTCCAGCATCGAGCAGATCGTTGTCGCGCTCACAGAGAGGTAGGGCGCGCGCAGAGAGGTAGGGTAAGGCGCAGAGAGGTAGGGTAAGGCGCAGAGAGGTAGGGTAAGGCGCAGAGAGGTAGGGTAAGGCGCAGAGAGGTAGGGTAAGGCGCAGAGAGGTAGGGTAAGGCGCAGAGAGGTAGGGTAAGGCGCAGAGAGGTAGGGTAAGGCGCAGAGAGGTAGGGTAAGGCGCAGAGAGGTAGGGTAAGGCGCAGAGAGGTAGGGTAAGGCGCAGAGAGGTAGGGTAAGGCGCAGAGAGGTAGGGTAAGGCGCAGAGAGGTAGGGCGCAGAGAGGTACGGGCATGGCATGGCATGGCATGGCACGGCATGGCACGGCATGGCATGGCATGGCATGGCATGGCACGGCATGGCATGGCACGGCATGGCATGGCATGGCATGGCATGGCACGGCATGGCATGGCATGGCATGGCATGGCATGGCATGGCACGGCATGGCATGGCACGGCACGGCACGGCATGGCATGGCATGGCACGGCATGGCATGGCACGGCACGGCATGGCATGGCATGGCACGGCATGGCATGGCATGGCATGGCATGGCATGTGCTCCCATGGTGCCCTCTCTCCCTCCGCTCCTTCCCTCCCTACCTCTGCCACTGCCTTCCCTCCTATGCGGCCCCTCTAACCCACAGCAACACACAGCAGCAGCAGCAAGCACACGCACCCCGTAGGCCAGCAGCAATGGTGTCGCTCTAATCAACTACGTCACGATAGTCATCACACCTCATCTCCCCCCTCCCCTCCCCCCCCTCCCTACCCCACCTCCCGCCTTACCCCTGCACCTCCACGGCAGCATAACGGAGTAGGCAGCATGCGTGTGCTGGTGGGCGCTTTTGAGAACCACACTCTTTCTGGAGCAACGCTGTTCCTCTAAACAACCATGCCATGCTAAATCCCCACCGCATTCCTCATCGTTACACGCACATATAGTCCCGACCCTCCTCGCCCCCTTCCCCCTGCACCCCCACATCAGCATAACAGAGCAGGCGGGCAACGAGGCGCATGACATGCGCGTGCTGGTGGGCGCACTGGAGAACCACACTCTCTCCGTCTCCGCCCACACACTCTCCACCATTGCCCCCCACACACTCTCCATTGCCCCCCTTGCACCCCCCACGGCAGCATAACGGAGCAGGCGGGCAACGAGGCGCATGACATGCGCGTGTTGGTGGGCGCACTGGAGAACCACACTCTCTCCGTCGCCAACGCCCTCACCGACCACGTCGCCCTGCAGACCGGTCCGTACCTCACTGCCGCGCGCTGCACCGCACGCACTACACCGCACTACACCGAAGCATGTGTCCAGTGGTCAGTCAGTCACTCACCGAAGCACTGGGCGCACTGGAGAACCACACTCTCTCCGTCGCCAACGCCCTCACCGACCACGTCGCCCTGCAGACCGGTTAGTGCCGCACCTCCCCGCGCTGCACCGCACTACACCGCACTAGACCGCACTGCACCATGTGTCCAGTGGTCAGTCACTCACTCACTGCAGCACTGGGCGCACTGGAGAACCACACTCTCTCCGTTGCCACCGCCCTCACCTCACTGACCACGTTGCCCTGCAGACCGGTTAGTGCTGCACTGCACCGCACTGCACTCACCCAGTGGCGAGTGCCCATTGGCCGGTCAACAGTCACTCATGCAGCGCTGCGGACCAGAAGTTCCCAAGTCAGTCAGTCAGTCATTAAGTCTGGCAGTCAGTTGGCCAGTCAGCCAGTCAGTAAGACAGTGAGTCAGTCATTCAATGAGTGAGTGAAGAAGTGAATGAGTGAATGAATGAATGAGTGATTTAGTGGGTAATGAGCGAGTGAGTGAGCGAGTGAGTCAGTCATTCAGTGAGTGAGTGAGTGAGTGAGTGAGTGAGTGAGCGAGTGAGTGAGTGAGCGAGTTACCCCACCCCAGCAACGGTGGGTGCCATGCCATGCGCAGTGGGCACTCACGCACTCACTGCAGCACTGCAGAGCAGGCGGGCTTGTGCATGCGAGCTACGTGGCGGCGCGATGACCGACAGCCCTAGAGCATGCGCGGACTGACAGGCCAGCCCAGGTCAGCCAGAGTGGGATGACCCCGTTTGCTCCTGAAACTACCGGGCCGCCTGCACCCACCCTGCGAGCAGGGTGGATGCTCGAGACTTGGGTGTGCGCGTGTGTGTGTGCATGCTTGTCATATGTCTCTGTCTCTGTCCTTGTAACTGTGTCTGTCTCTCTCTGTGCCCCTGTCTCTGACTGCCTGTCTCTGTCTCTTTACCTGTGTCTGTACTGTGTGTGTGTCTGTCTGTTCCGTCTCTGTGTGGTTACCTTTGTGCGTGTTTGTATCCCTATGCGTGTTGTACGTCCGCGCACGTGCGGGCACGCCTCATCACCGCCAGGTCAGCTGCGCCAGCTGGCGTCGGAGATACGCAATCACAGCGCCACGGTGCAGACCCACGTGGCAACAGCCGTGGACGCCATTGGAGGAGGGGCGGAGGGCGGGAAGGGGGGAGGGGACGTGAGCAAGGAGAAACTGGCTGGGCTCATGGCTGCGTCTGCCCGCTCTCAGGTGCGTGAAGGGGGAGAGGGGAGCGAGGGGAGAGCAGGGGACGAGCGGGTGCAGAGCAAGGGGGGAGCAAGAGTGGGTGGGGAGGAAAGGGGGAGGGGACGTGAGCAAGGAGCAGCAGCAGCTGGCTGGGCTCATGGCCGCCTCTGCCCGCTCCCAGGTGCGCCCTCAGGGGCAGGGGAGGGTAAGGGGGGAGCGAGGGGAGAGCAGGGGGCTAGGGGGGGCAGAGCAAGCAAGGGGGGAGCAAGAGTGGGCGGGAGGGGGGGAGGGGAGGTGAGCAAGGAGAAGCTGGCTGGGCTCATGGCAGCCTCTGCCCGCTCCCAGGCAAGGTTAAAAATGACGGCAATCGTATTATACGATTCGTATAATACAGTCGTTTTTTACGACCCAGTTCTAAAAAATACGGCGTATTTTTGATAGACATTTTTGTGTTTCATTTTCTTTTTCAAACAGCCCCTGGAATGATTTCTACAACATCCAAGCTGGTTCACATTAGCCTAATATACTAAACAGAGGCATTCATCATAACTATACTATACTACCACTAGACAACCTGGCCCCTCCCTCCCCCCTACTCAATACTCCTATGCCTCTCTACACTACACACACCTCCTCATCCTCTACTCATCCGAAATCCTGCTACTCCTCGTCCTTCTCCTCCTCCTCTCCCTCACTACTACTGCTATGCCTCTCCTACACGTCTTCATCCTGATCATCCTAATCCTCATCCTCTACTCATCCTCCGCCTCCTCCTCCTCGTCATCCTCCTCCTCGTCCTCCTCCCCGCTCGAACCATCACTGCAATCCCAAGGATTCACGCCCTTACGAGATCTCTCCTTACGAGTCGCCTCCTCCTCCTCCTCATCTCCGCTGCTGTCCGCCGCCTCCTCCTCCTCACCCTCACTCACATCCACAGCTTGTGCTTTGCCCTTTCCCTTGCATGGCTTGGTTGCTCTCCCCTTCCCCTTTCTCTTCTTGGTGGAGCACTCACCTTTCTTCTTCCTCCTGCCGATGGTCCCGAACTGCTCCCAGTCAATGGTGCACTTTTCGGTTCCATCTCCCTCCTCCTCTTCCCCGACCTCCATTTCCTGTGTGGGTGCCGCCGCCGGAGCAATGATGCACCCTTTCTTGAGGGTGCCGTTGCTCAGGTCTTCATACAGCTTCGCCCTCACCCCAGCTTTCAGGTCAAATGCAGCCCGGGCCCTCCGGGAGAATGCCACGGAGGTGACATCCATCATCTTCGTGGCGGTGAGACGGTTCCGATCACGCCTCTGCACCCGTGCGATGGCGGACCAGTACCTCTCCACTTCGGAGGAGGTCTGGCTGTGATAGGGTCATCACAGCCACTGACTGGAGCTGCTTCACTTCCCCCCCGTACATGAACCAACACTCCGCATCCGTCAAGCGCCCACACTCCACCAAATGCGTTGCTGCCCAACGCGCCTCATCCGAGCCCAAACGGTCCTCTCCTTTGTGGAATTGGGCCAGCTGGACAGTTAGAAGTGCGCGCTGTGCGACATCCACAGCCCGTGCTTCGAACACCTCCTCAGCCCCACGTCTCACCTCGGCATCGTTCCTCACCTCCTCACTATACTGATTGCGGGGGTTGAGAAGCCATCCCAGTGCATGTAATGCGTTATGCAGCTGGCCGTCCCACCGCTTGGCAATAATTGCCCTGATGGACGTCATAAACGCCGGCTTGTCCTTTGCCGCCAGCAGAGACGTCCGTTTCACCATCATTGTGGCTGGCCAAGATGGAATCCAGAGAATGAACGGATATAAGTAATACTTTTCCGGGAAATGGAGGGCAAAACATACAACGTTGGAACATACCAGCAAGAATAACAGTACAATGACTAGCTCACCTGCTGCCTCGGCCGCCTCGCTGGTCTTGACCGTGGCCTCTAGCATGAGGCCATACACCTGGCCCATGACTAGAGCCCGGGTGTCCACGGTTCGTAGGACCTCGTACACCGGTGTCATGAGGCGGAGCACCGCCGTCCCACAATCCCAGAACACGTCATCCAACAGAAGGTCGCGGACCGCCTTCCCCTCCTCCTTCTGTGCCACCGCAATCCCCTCCCATTCATCACTAATCACCATTTCTCGCAGTGCTTTCTTCACCTCTAAGAAGCGGGTCAGCATTATCACTTGCGTGCCAAAACGCGTTGCACCAGGCCGCACTAGGGAGAGTTTGCTAAGCAGCTGTTCGAATAGCGTGACGGCGGACGCGCTGCCCTTTACCATCATCACGACTCGGTGGACCTGGCTAAGGACCCGCTTCACGGCTGGAATGTTCCCCATGTCGTGGAGCATCAAATCGAGGGTGTGTGCGGCGCAGTTGGTGAAGAAAACCGAAGGATAGGGCACACGGAGGATGTCCGACGCCCGCTTGTTGTTTGAAGCGTTGTCCATGACAACCTGGACAACCTTGTTGGCTCCCACCGTAGTGATCGACTTTTTGATGAGGGCGGCCAGGTACTCGCCCGTCTTCTTTGACGTCTTGGAGTCTACAATGTCCACGATCACTGGAGCGGTGTCGTTATGAGCGATGACACACACAAGGCCGCGACTTTTCAGGCAGGTCCATCCGTCGACCGAGAGAGTGCAGCCACTCGTGCTCCAGCTTTCTTTCATCGGCCTGACAAGCTCCTCGTTGTCAACCTTCAGCTTCTGTAGCAGCGCACCGCCCACCCTGAAGGGGGATGGGAGGT